AAAGAGAACTACAGGCCAATCTCCCTAATGAACATAGATGCAAAAACTCTCCATAAATTGCTAACAAACAATACGACAAATCATCAAGAAGATCATACACCATGACCAAGTGGGATTCAACCCAGGAATGCAGGGATGGTTCAATATATGCAAACCAATTAATGTAATACACCATATCAATAGAGCCAAAGACAAAAATCACATGATCATCTCCACTGATGTAGAGAAAGCCTTCGATAAAGTCCAACACTGATTCATGATAAAAACCCTACAGAAAATAGGAATAGATGGTCTGTACCTCAAGCTCATCAAAGCCATCTATGATAAACCAACAGCTAACATCATACTAAATGGTGAAAAACTGAAAGCTTTCACTTTAAAATCAGGAATAAGACAAGGATGTCCAGTGTCACCACTCCTACTCAATATAGTTCTGGAACTATTATCTATAGCAATTAGACAAGAGAGAGAAATAAAAGGAGTAACAATAGGAAAGGAAGAAGTGAAATTATCATTATTCACAGATGGCATGATACTCTACATGAAGGCCCTCAAAACTCCACCAAAAGGTTTATAGATTTAATAGCCAAATTCAGTAGCATAGCTGGATACAAAGCCAACATTCAAAAATCAATAGATTCCAGTACACAAACAACAAACAGTCTGAGAGAGAAATTAGAGAAACGACACCTTTCACAATAGCACCTAAAAAGATGAAATACTTAGGAATCAATCTAACAAAGCAAAAGATCTATACAGTGAAAATTACATTACTCTACAAAAAGAGATCAAAGAGGATTTCAGAAATAGCAAAGATATTCCTTGCTCATGGATAGGAAGAAACAACATTGTGAAAATGGACATACTCCTAATATTGCTGTGCAGATTCAATGCAATCCCAATTAAAATACCATTAGTATACCTCACAGATCCAGAGAAAACATTCCTAAAATTCATCTGCAACCAGAAGAGGCCTAGAATAGCAAAAGTAATCCTGGGAAATAAAGGAAAAGCAGGAGACATCACAATTCCTGACTTGAAATTATAATACAAATCTACTGTGATAAGATCAGCATGGTACTAGCAAAAAAACAGACCTGAAGATCAATAGAACAGATTAGAAGATGCAGACACAACTATAAACACACTCATCCACCTTATCTTTGACAAAGGAGTCAAACATATTCACTGAAAGAAAGATAGCCTCTTTAATAAATGGTGCTGGAAAAACTGGCATTCCACATGCTGAAGACTAAAACTAGACCCATGTCTTCCACCATTCACTAAAGTCAAAATGGATCAAAGTTTTAAATATTAAAACAGAAACACTAAATCTTTTGGAAGAGAAAGTAGGCAAAAATCTTGAAGACACAGAGGTAGGAGAGTTCATGAACAAAACCCAAACTGCATGGGAAATACTTGAAAGAATCAACAACTGGGATCTCATTTTACTGAAAAGTTTTTACACATCAAAAAAAAAAAATCACCAATAGAGTAGAAAGAAAACTCTCGAATTGAGAAAAAATTTAGCCAACTTCCCCTCAGATAAAGGACTTTTATCTAGAACATTTAAAGAATTAAGGCCCCCCAAATTAAAAGATCCAATCCAAAAATTGGCATCTGAGATGAATACACACTTCTCACACAAAGAAATACTAATGGCGAATAAATATATGAAAAAAATGTTCAACATCATTAGTCATTCGAGAAATGCAAATTAAAACAACATTGAGATTACATCTCACCCCACAGAGAATGGCTATCATCAAGAAATCAACCAATATCAAATGCTGGAGAAGCTGTGGGGAATAAGGAACCCTACTGCACTGTTGGTGGGAGTGTAGACTGGTGAAACCACTGTTGCAATCAGTTTGGAGATTCCTCACAAAGCTAGGAATACAAGTCGTACTTAACCCAGCTTGTCCCCTTCTGGGTATTTTCTCAGAAGAATTAAAAATATCATACCACAGTGATGTATGTGCACCCATGTTCATAGCAGCACAATTTGTTATAGCTAAATCTTGGAAACAACCCAAATGCCCATCAACTGAGGAATGGATAAAAAAGATGTGGTATTTTTATATAATGGTGTATTACTCAGTTATAAAAAAGATAAACTTGAGGTTTTTGTAGGTAAATGGATGTAACTAGAGACCATACTCATAAGTGAAATAAACCAGACCCCCATGTGTAAACATCGAATTTTCTCTCCAGTGTAGGAACCTGAAAGAGTAAGTAGAATTCAAAATGTACAGTAGAAGATATGAAAGGGAAAGAAATTGATCAAAGGAAGGAACAACTGGGATGAGGGAAAGAAGAAAAAGAAAGAAGGCAGGCAAATATATATATATATATTATATATGAGATAACTGTACTGCTGATGTCTGATGGTATACTGAATGGAACAGTTAATGCTTGAAATTTTTTATATTCTGACCAATATTGCATGCTTATATCTGATAATCTGAGGAATTGATTTGAAGACAACAATATGCAATGAAACAACCATTGGTAAATTCTTACCATCTTATCTAGTGAAACTGTATTATCTCTAAAGTTTTACTTAATAGTTACTTTTTATTCTCTTTAATGGTTTGAACAATCTTCCATACTTATATCTGGTAATCTGAGCAACGCAGTTGAAGGTAACAATATGTAGTATAACAACCGCTGTTAATTCCTATCATTTTGTTTTGAAACCCTGTATCACTTTTAATGTTCTTGCTTTGTTTTGTTTATGTCTGTGATGTTGGTATGTTGCTATTGTTCTTTTTTTTACTACTCTCTTTAAAATAAAAAAAGAAAAATAAGACAAAATATTAGTCAAATCATCCCAAGGTATCATAATGTTTTAAATAAATATGCTGGAGACAAAGAGAAGATGAGAGTAAAAAGGTTACATAGTTACTTTAACAAGCTTGCAAGAGAATACCAGCATAACCAAAGACAAGCAAAACTAGCACAGACAGGACGCCATGAACCAAAAGAATAAATAAATATCTTAAAACATGTTACTAATTCAGGTATGCACCATGGAAGGGCATTCCTTATGGGGGCAGAAATGTTAGTAACAGGTATCAATATTCCTATAAAAACCATAGTGACCTCTGAGAAAAACACTGAACACTGTTAGAACAAAACACATTAGAAATAACAGCTGATGTCTTCAGCTATTTTAAAGAAATTCCCAAGTGTTCATTAAATTTGATTTATCCTACGTTCTCTGAACCAAACTGATGCACTAAACATCGTTTACTCTATATGGTTCTCAGTATATAAAAACTCTGTTTTCCCAAATAAATTAAATTCTATTTCACTTCCTCACTACTCCTAAAGATATTTCCACTGTACAGCTGGATTGAATTACTCTTCTCAGTTACTACTGGTACTGGGAATTGAACCCAGTGACTTCTCACTGAACTACATCTGTACTGGGGATTGAATTTAATGCCTTCTCACTGAACTACATCTCTAAGTTGCTAAACTGCCCAAACTGGGCTTGAATTTGTGATCCTCCTCAGCCTCCCAGAGTGCTGGGATTACAGGTGTGTGCCATCATGCCCAGGTTTACTACTACTAAAATATCTTAATGATTTAAAATAGTGGCCACAGAGCTATTGTAAATTTGCTTTTTGTTATCTGGTATTATTTAGTAAGATAAAATTATTTGGTTTATTAAAAAAAAACATATTGCTGGTCATGGCTGACAGGTTATTATTGTCTCTCTGTTATAGAGACAAACAATGGCCCACCATTTACCCAAAAGAAACACAATCAATGCCAGCATTTCTCCTACTCCCCAATTCTGCTTGGCCATGGCTTATAGGGGATCCGGAGTTACAATTTTGGATGGCACCAAGTCCCAAAACTAGCTCTCAACCCTGAGCTGAAAACCTGGCAAAAAGGAGAGATGCTTACTTGGCTATCACAGGAGAAGATGACCTCTTAGAAATGACTCCGGGAAGCTCGCATCTTCTCAGTGGAGACCCAAGGCTCGCAGTGGGAAAAGAAGTTGTCACTCGTTGCCCCTTCTTCACTTTCTCCATCTGTTGGGGAGACAGAATAGGGTAGCCACAGCCCACGACTGGTACTACCTCCTCAATTTCTAAAAAGTCCCAGATGGAAGTGATGTACAGGCTTAAGAGGGATCAATAAGAAGCTATAATGCTTCATGTGATGGGAAAATTTGCTGGGAGACACCATGGGGTCATCACATTTAGGGAATCCAGCAAAAATAGTAACAATTTTCCACCTTACTCCCTTGTTATATTATGAGAAACTAACAACAGAATTTTTTTTTTTGGTACAGGAATCGAACTCAGGACCTTGCGCTTGCTAGGCAGGTGCTTGTGCCACTGAGCTATATCCCTGGCCCTAACAACAGAATTATATTATGGTCTTGGACATAAAGGAACTGCAAAGAGTACAAAGACACAGGCTCACTACAAAAACTTAAAGGTAAGTAAGAACATGGTTATAACATCCAAGACAGCGAGCTGTAGAACCTGACAGCATACTGGGTTGCAATGGGGAGTGTAACCCACTCATTTCTCTATTGGCAGAACAGAAAAGCGAACAGACATCAGTGTCTGGCCTGTAGAAAGTGCTCCACAAGGATAAGTTCTCTTCTTTCCCTATCACGTTTTTCTGTAACAAATCCTCATTTGGACCCCACATCCACAAATCTCAGCCTCCTTCCACAATAATCCATCCTACAGCAAAATCCAAGAGTTAGAAATATGTCTCTTTTAAGAATCTCAGGGCCACAATGAATATGAACGGAAAGTATGTTATAGAATGCCAAACAGGGCTAGAGATATAGCTTGATGTTAGAGTGCTTGCCTAGAATGAGTGAGGCTCAGGGTTTGATCCCAAAAAAATGTCCAATAGTAAAGTAATGCAGTATTTTTAACATAAGTTCACATATTTTTATATCCCTCGCTTTAAAGGTAGAGCCTAAATTCCTTTCCCCTTCGGAGTAGATTGATCTTAATGACTTGGTTTTGATGAAAAGCATGTGGCACAAGAGACAAGTTGGATATAAAAGGTAATGCAGTTTCCCTCCTGTGCTCTCTCGTGGATTGCTTGCCCTGGAAGAAGCCAGCTGGCATGTTATGTGGATACTCAAGCAGCTTCACAGAGAGCCCCACAGAGCAAGGAACTGAGGTCTCCTGCCTGCAGCCATGTGATGAATATCTCAGAAGAGGCCCAGTTCAGCTTTCAGATGCAGCAGCCCTAGCCAGCATCTTGACTACATCCTCATGAAAGACCCTGTACCAGAACCATCCAGCTAACATTCTGAATTTTGCATCCAAAAGCCCCATGAGATAAGAAGCATTTATTTTAAGCCAGTAAGGTTTGGAGTAATTCACTTTGTAGCAAATGATAACATAAGTAGTATGGCATGCATAATTTCTAAATAAATACACAAATTTGGGGGTAGCTGTTCAACATGTATTTTACTGATTGTATCAGTAATGACATCAAAAATATTTTAAGGCTACTGTTTGGGTGGTGGTTGACCTAGAACCTCAGTTCTAGTTATCTAAATAGGCAAGACTTGCCCAGAATCTGATACACCCAAAGAAGCAGAGAAAAGACACTTGAAACACTCTGCCTGACTCCTATCCTTTGGAGGGCAAGCTATAACAAGGATGTCATTAGGAAATTTCTAAAAGCATCAAGATTTAAGGGTATGCAAAAAGTTAAATTATTTGCAAAGGTTGGGTAAAATTTTAAATTAAATCTCCCCCATGATCAGTCACTAGAGACTGACAGAAATGTAGACCCCAGGTCAAGTGCAGCAAGTAATCAACAGTCCACAGAAGTGAGTGAGTTTAAACTTACCGGAGAGGCCTCTGCTCCTATAGGGGCTCCTTTTCCAGCATCTCCTACACCAGATGTAAGTGTAGCCTTCTTCCTCTCAATGGTTCTCGTGGGAGAAGACTTGAACGAAGATTTAAGGGGGCCACCAGGAGCTACATGAAGACAGGCATAGAATACTAGAGAGTTAAAGTACAACAGCCAAAAAAGACAGAAAGAGCAGATGGAAAAAGCAGGGAGACAGGAAGTTGGAAATAACACATTTCTATTAAAAGTTAACACAGACAATCCATTCTCAAAACACTTTTTCTATTGTAGGATAGATCCTATCTTAAAAAGGCTCTCAGACTCAAGAGTCCAGTTCATTTCAGAAGTTAAAAGTCTGTACTTTGGACCCAGACAGATCTTGCACTGCCACCTAATAGCAGGATCACTTTGGACAAGTCACTTGACTTCTCTAAATCTCAATTTCCTTATGCAATTAACATAGCTGACCTGACCACTGTCCTTGGAAGAGGCTGCTTATAAGGTTGGTCCTTGGCCGGCACTAGGAACTTAAGATTTCAGGAAGATTCCTGCTATTAACTGGTGAGTACTTAAACTGTTTCTATATATAATAGCATACATTCAGGTGTCTGGAATTTGGGTATGTGGCTGGCAGAGGGTGCCTAACATGACCACCTCAGTAAAAACTCTGGGTGCTGTCTCTAAAGAGAGTTCTAAGTTGTCAGTATTTCACATGTGTTGTCACAATACTTGCTGGGGGAACTAATCACATTCAGTGTGACTAAGAGAAGAACCTTGAAAACTTATACCTGGTTTTCTTTGCATTTCTCCCCATGTACCTCTTCCCTTTGCTACTTGAGTGCATCCTACTGTAGTAAATCATAATGATGAGTACAAATATGCTGAGTCTTTTGAGTACTCCTTTCTCCTGGTAAATCATCAAATCTTGGGAGAGGCCTAGGAGACCTCAGACAACTGATGTCAGAAGTGGGAATCACTAGAATGACCCTGATTCACTGAAATGTGGTAAAAGAATTGTTTGGGAAGAGGCAGGATAAAGGTGCAAAGGATGATGAATGTATGCTGTGTGGACGACTATGGAATCATCCATGGTATGAACCAGCAGCCAAGTTGCTATCTGTTGTGAGAGGTGAAAGTTGCCTACGGAATCTGAAGATGACCACAAGAGAGTTGGTTTGATGGATCCCCTGGCAGCTTTTGGCCATGCTAGTTAAAGGAGGGAAAATGTGCAGTGGAGCTATGCTTTTGGGTTTGTTTGCTCCTCCAAGTGGAAGTGGGAAACAACTTTCTTGATTTTTGTCCGCAGTAAGTGGGAGTAAGTCTCTGTAACTGGGGATTTTTATCTAATGAAGACTCTGGAAAAGGGAAGATGTAAAAATATTTTCTCAGTCATCCCTATTCTCATCTTTAAAGACAAAATAGTTTTTACACTTTTTTTTTGGGGGGGGGTATTGGGGTTTGAACCCAGGGCCTTCACACTGAACTATATCCCCAGTCCAGACAGAGATACATAGTACTTTGGAGTCTTAAAAATCAACTGATACAAATATAGAACATTTTTCCATGGGGCCTACTCTGTGAAAACATCCTAGATAATGCTTGACCATCTGGGTCCACACAAGCACCCAGAGGGATTGTTCTGTAACGGGACCATTCAAAATCAAGCTGCCCCTCAGCTCTATATTTCTAATGCAGAGGCTGTGTGCGTTCCCAACTTGTGACCCTGTAAAAAGCTGCAGGCTGAGAAAGGTTGGAACATGACCCCTTCAGCCACTCCTGACAAACTGCACTCCATTCCCTCTAGGGGATATGTCAGTACTGTTGTCTTGTGTTTGATTTTCCAAAATAGTTTCAGTGACTCCACTCACTTTCTTCCCAGTACACACACCTCAGTAAAGCAATTTGTTAAATACAGCTATCATGGGGCAGGGCAGAGACTGATCTTCTTTAGACTGCTCACTGGATAAATGACCAAGAAAAAAAGGACCAAAGGTGATATAAACCCTATTTTGAAAATTTTGGATTTTGTCCTAATGCCTAAACATGTGTCTGATTGAGTTGGATAAAAAGTTTTTTTTTTAGCCAGGTGTAGTGGCGCATGCCTATAATCTCAGAACTTTGGGAGGCTGAGGTAGGAGAGTCACAAGTTTGAGTCCAGCCATGGCAATTTGCAACTTGGTAAGATCCTGTCTCAAAACAAAACATAAAGGCTGGGGATACAGCTTAGTGTGAAGGCCCTGGGTTCAAGCCCCAATCCCTCTCCCAAAAAAGATTGTAAAAATGATTTTGTCTTTAAGGGTGTGAGTAGGGATGATTGAGAAAATGTAGTTTTGTCTGCTAAATGGGATATGAAGAAATATATTAAGCCCAAGCACCTGGGGGCGGGGTATAGGGGATACTGTTACAAAGACCTTTGTTATTTTTGTTATCTTCTTCCAGAAGGAAAACTCCCTGTGCTGTCTTTATGAGCTGCTATGAGCATCGAATGATGAACCTAGATGGCACATAACAGCACACCTCAACAAAAGTGGGCCAGCTCCTGCAAGGTCTCTGCAAAATACCTCTAGATGGCATCCATACTTGCTAGGTAGATGAACTAGTTTGGGAGTGACAGCCTCAGGCTGCCCCTCTGGAACCAAAGACTGAACTAAATTCACACTGGACTGAGTAACCTGGAATAAGAGACATCACAGTGGGAGGTCACAATACAGGTCACCTGCCCAGCAGCATATTAGCTCTGTGTGCCCTAACATCATCAGCTTTTGGTCTCCAGGGAACCATGGGAGTCCTAAGGAATTGTACTTCTTATGTGTGTGCCCGACTATCACGACATTGCCTTAGCCCCAGAAGATGTTCAGGTCACCTTCAATTTACTGGCCAGAGCTCTGCAGGGCCTAAGTAAAAAGATGATTCATAAAGAACTAACAAAGGAAGCCACCTGGCTACCTAAAATAGACCCTTATGGTTAATGGGATTCGCTTTCACTGCTAAGTCCAGAATCCCTAAAGGGGGGGCTGGGGATTTAGCTCAGCGGCAAAGCGCCTGCCTGGCAAGCGCAAGGTCGTGAGTTCGGTTCCTGGTACCGGAGAAAAACCGAAAAACCGAAAAACCAGAATCCCTAAAGGGCATAAGTGAGATCAATACTATAGGTTGGTCTCATCCCACTGTCTGGGGTCTTACTGGTAATCTGTAAAGAAACCTTGGCAATGTGTTGTGGGGGTGGACTATGCAGGAAAAAGAGTTAAAAATAGGAAATGTCGCTGCTGTCCTTGAGTGGGCCTATATACAAGGTTGGCCCTTGGCCAGCATCTGGGGACTTCAATTTTGGCAAGGGTTGCCACTGTTAACTGACAAGTGGCTCACTGTGCCTAAACTGTAAAAACAATATGGTGTGTGCTGAATAGCTGCTTTCAGCTTACAAGTATGGAATTTGGGTATATGCTCAGTGAGGCCTGTACATGATCAGTCCCCAGTAAAAACCCTTGGCACTGAGTCTGTAATAAGCTTCCCTGTTTGGCAACATTTCATACATATTGTTGTAATTCTTTGCTGGAAGAAATGAGTCCCAAGTGACACCACTAGAGAGGACTCTGGAAGTGTGTGCCTCATCTCCCCTAGACTTCATACCCTCTGCTGATTTTTTCGTCTATTCTTTCACTGTAATGTCAGAGGTGAGTGTGCCTAGATGCTAAGTCCTCTTAGTAAATCATAGATCCTGGGCTTAGCCTTAGGGATCCATGAAATATTTCTCATTCTCAAAATGGGGATATTTCCTATTTGCCAAAGTTTTCTGTCTGAGATAGAATTAATATATCATCAAATACTCCTTTAAAAAGTGTCCAACTGAGTGTTTTTAGTATACTCACAAGGTTGTACAACTATAATCACAGTCTAATTCCAAAACATTTTCAAGACACCCCAAAAGAAACCTTTATTCACTAAGCAGCCCTCCCTTTCTTCCTTCTGCTAGTCCCTGATAACCGTTAATCTACTTTTTATTTCTATAGATTTGCTTACTGTGAATATTTCATGTAAGGGGAATCATAATTTATAGTTTTTTTGTATATGTCTTCCTTAACTTAGCATAATGTTTTTGAGGTTCATCCATCTTGTAGCAGTGTCAGTACTCCATTCCTTTTCATAGCTGAATAATATTCAACTTTAGAGATACAGCATATTTTGTTTATCCACTCACCATTTGATGGACATTTGAACTGTTTCCATTTTGTGGCTACTATGAATAATGTTGCAAAAAAACATTTGTATACAAGTGTTTGTGTGGACATATGTTTTTAATTTCCTTAGTTCTATATCTAGGACAAGAATCTCCGAGTCATATAACTCCATGCTTAACATTTTTAAGGAACTCCCAGCCTGTATTCCAAAATTACGCACTATTTTTCATCCCCATCAGGAATATGTGATTGGTCCAGTTTCTACATATCTTCAACCAACATGTGTTATTTTCCCTCTTACATAGTTTTAGCTATCCTAGTGGGTGTGAAGTGGTAGCCCATTGTGATTTTGAGTTGTATTTCTCTAATGAGTAGTGACAATAAACATCTTGTGGCATGATTATTGGCTTCTTCTGTACTTTCTTTATAGAAATGTAACTATTCAGAAGCAGCTACAACTAGGTAGACATTTTATGTCATTTATAGGTTATTTCACTGAATACTGTATACTGTATCTTAGGAATGGAAACCAGACGTTGCTCATCTGTACATAAAAAATCATCAACCCTCAATAACTGCAATATGATGGTTTGATCTGATCTAGTAAAAGAAGGGCTTTGAGGGGGCTGGGGATTTAGCTCAGCGGCAAAGCGCCTGACTGGCAAGTGCAAGGTCATGAGTTCAATTCCTGGTACCGGAAGAAAAGACAAAAAAATAAAAAATAAATAAAAGAAGGGCTTTGATAGTCTGGTCCAGTGTTTGTCAGACTTTAATGTCCAGGGCAGGTGTGGCCTGAGAATTGGCCTTCCTACGAAGTTCCCAGGTGATGCTACTCTGTGCCAATCATTATGCTACCTTATTTATACCATTACCTCACTTAATCCTCATGACAATTTAAAACAACTCCACTGTATAGATGAGCAAACAGGCTTATAAAATGGTAAGAGTTTGTGAGTACTAGGGCTGGTTACAGGATCCAAGATACTATGGTCTACAGGCTACTTTGCCAAACCATCTCTTAATAAAAGTCTAGTAACCACCACAGTTCATCAAGTAGATATTTTTCTCCAATGTACATGTTCTCAGTAATTACATAATTCACTTACCTCTGTACCACTTAAATATAGCAACAGCAAAACACTACTGGATTAAAACTGTTATTAACCATTGAAGACACTTCACAAAGCCAGTAAATAGAAAGTAAAATACAAAAATTCAGGAATAAATCCCAGGCTGACCAATACCACTTTAGGGCTTTTCCTCAGTGTCATCAGCTTGGCCTCTTTTACCTGAGTCACTGGCCTGCTCAGAGAATATGAATGTAGTTCTGCTTCTGGCTAAAGAAGCCTGTGTGGGTGTCAACAGTCGCATAACAAGAAAGCTTTCCGTGGGACTAAGGTGTGTGCGATGAGCTGAGGGATGGAATTAAATGAAAAGTTTAAAAAGCAAAATTAAAATAAAATGCTTAAATAACAACACATGATGCAAATTAAATTTGGGGTGGCAGAACAAATATGGAAAATAAAAATATTCTAACAAAAAATGGTTTTGTAGTTTGTCATCATAAAATGAAACAAATAATGGGTCATTTAGAGTTTGGGGGCATGTATTAATTCTCTTGGGATGCCAGAATTTATTCACTATGTCATTATGTATAGTGACCTGCATCACTCGAGAATTAGACAACCTCCCAAGGTGTTAGTATAGACTCATTTACTCACCAAGTAGATCTAACAGTGAAAAAAGGACTATACCTATAAAACATTCATTTTAGGTTCTCTGTTAAGACATAGCTCAAAACACTGATTTTTAAAAATAAAGTATGTCATCCTATAGTAGTTTAAAATAAGTCCTTTATACTTTTCCTTGTAAATAGGGGGAAAATAAAATAAACACAAAAATAATAACAGCCAACTGATTATCAGCCTCAATGGAAGATAAAATTTTCATAATCTAAAATTAAATGACCAAAATATTTTGATGGTTTAGGAACATATTTATATAGCAACAAACACAAAAAATTATTTTCTATTCTCTGGATGTCTATTGACTAGTAACTGGTTTGGGGATTAAATACTTGCAATTTATAATCTACAAGCAGATAATTCAGTTATCAAGAATACATAATAAAATACATGTTAAACAATGCGAAAAATGAATTTAACATCAATCTGGAACCATAAGAATTAATGAAAACTTATGGAATACACTCACTAATGGAACAGCTACCTAAAGAGGGTGTAGGTGTTTTCTCATCCAACTCTTAATTCCTTCCATGTTCCTGGGGTTTCCCCATAAACTGCATCAGAAATTAGCAGCATTCTGACACTCACAGGAACTCTGACACACATGGCACGCCTCTGGGATGGAAGGGGCAGGTCAATGCCAGCGAACAACAACTAGAAAGGAACATCAGCCTCTTCCAAGTCACAAACATCCTCCTACTCATCCCTTGGGGATAACTTGACATGCTATATACTCCATTGGCAACTGACTCCTTCAGTGATTCAATGATGCTTTAAAATATACATTTATCACATAGAAAGCCCTCCCTTAACCTCCATACTGTGAAAGGTATAAATTCAGGATGCCAATGACTGATCTAAGCCTCCATTAAAATATGGATGGCATTACATCTATGCAGGTTCTAGAACTGGCATGTGTCTTATATGTTACCTTCTGACTCAAAACAATACCTGAAAAGATTGCCTTCCTTTTCCTCTTTTAGGGGTCTCGTATTAGTTCTGTGTTTCTGTTTTCATCTAGGAAATGTGCAGGTCTACAAACAATGTAGGACTACAGAACTCCATTTTTTTCACAGAGCGAGTCTCCCAGGTAACTCTGACTCATCAATTCTGCTCCTTCTGGCTAATCAACTGCATCCCATCACTGACCAGGCACATACTTGCTTTTAACTCCTATACATGCGCTGTGAAAAGTCAAACTCTTTCTTTCAGACTGGGAGAATATCAATTCCTGTCCCTATTCAACACCAACCTATGGCAAACCTATGGTACCCATGCCACAGCAGGCCGTCTGCATCACTGAAAGCTCTAAAAGATTTGCCATCAATGATCCAGTGTCATGCCACTCTTCACAGTCCCATTAGCAAGGCCGTAGGGTACCTACATTCAGACCACAAGGTTAGGACAATGGTGGTATCTGCAGAAAGCTCAAGAAGGGGCTCTTGCAAAGGCCAATGTTAAAATGCCCACATCAGAAAGAAGCACACTTGAAAGACAAAGTCTACGTGTTCACTTGCCTCGGTCTGGAGAATAGGACATAGCCACGGTAGATGAAGACAGGCGTTTACTCATGGGAGGCTCCGGCTGCTTTGGTAAATTCATGGTCGATGTTGAAAGTTTGTCACATGCTGCAGAGAAATGCATTAAAGACATTGGTATTCAACCACTATAGACCAAGAAACACATCCCAAAGTCTCTTTCCTGTCCTCATCCACACACCTCTTACACCACTGTGGCACAGTACACTGTGCTTCCATTATTCTGGTATCCCATTATCCTAATCGAGAAATGTCCAGGCTACAGTAGCCACCAGCCTGAAATGCTTTCATTGTGTTTTTCTCTTAAATTTCAAATATTCAACCTTATTCAAAATTTCAACTAAAGTTATGCTAATTCCTTACAATCTTCTTGTGTCCAGGGATTTTTAAAAGTATTAACACTACATAAAACCAAAACCAACCTGGATCCAGAGACAAATCCCTATTGAAAACATTCTATGGTTTGAATGAAATTGTGTGTGGTGAAACTGAACTTTTCCTGAAGGTTATCTGTGGCTCATATTGGGGAAAAATGTAATCTGTATACCAGCTGTCTTTTTGTTGTTGTTTTGTTGTCTTTTTGAGACAGGGTTTCATTATGAAGTTCAGGCTGGCCTTGAACTCACTTTATAGTCCAGGCTGTCCTCAAACTCACAGCAAACCTCCTGCCTCAGCCAGCTAGTGCTGGGAATACAGGTGTATGCCACCATGCCCTGATCAAAAACACAATTCGAGGGGCTGGGGATTTAGCTCAGCAGCACAGCGCCTGCCTGGCAAGTGCAAGGTCGTGAGTTCAATTCCGGGCACTGGAAAAAAAAATGCAATTTGAAAGCAAGGAACTGTATTTAAAGTGAAATAACCTTTAGCAGTTGGTTTTCTTACTTTTACTAAGAGATGGAGTCAAAGTGGCCCTTTCACAAATGTTTTAGTGGGTTATGGTTAAGACTTTAACATGTGACTCTAGGTTTCATGTTCTCATATTCCAGTCGTCATTTCAAACTGGTTTCTAAATTAAATCATGATGGCCAAAACAAGGAATCAAACTTATCAGTGAGGTTTTCAAAAGCTAACTCTTCTGCTCATATTGTTTTCAAATGACAGAACTGTCATCTCTGACAATTTCTGTTGACCAAATGACAATCTTAAAGCTGAATTCCAAGTGTAATACATTTGGATTGGGGGATATATAAAATATTTAAACCTGAAATGTTGTTTTAATAGTCCCACTTTTAAATTTTTCATTATTTTAAAGTACTTGGCTGTTCTGGGAATACATGTAACCACTGGAAATGACATAAAACCACATATATAGGGGTATACATTTTCCCTTTTGCCTCAGGCTCTGCTTATTTAGTATGGCACTGGTCTTTAGAAATTCAATATTTTGTTTGAAATGGGCTGTTTTATATTAATTTTGGTTTTGAAAATATTCCACTAGAGTATTTTGTCTTTCTTATTGAGTTTTTTGGCGCCTACTCAAATTATGTGTCCAGGTCAGATATCACACTCGCCTTATCAAAGCCCCAGGTACTGATTCCCAGTGGGTGATTAATCCATTTTACTTGTAACCCTCTGTAAAGAAAAGCCACTGCCCACTCTACAGGTAGTAACTCAGCTTGTGCAGCAAAATCTGTGCACCACCAATAAAAATATTGTCAAAGGAATGCCAGAAACCAAGCATATTTATTCGTACTGCAAAAATGATCTTACATATTGCTGGTAAATGTTGCATCTCCTTTCTATCTTGTTTTATTTTTGCCAGCCAGAGGTGGGCTGAATTTCTAAAGTCACTATTAAATGGGAAAGTTTTGCTGGTTTTTTTCTTGATCCAGACCATAAGAATTTTCCAAGTTTACATCCACAACAACATTTCAGACAAACAGATGAAATCAAGAACAAAGCTAAGTTACCTCATTATATGGATTTCCAGTGCTAGTGCCCATGAACTCCATACCACTTCCTCTTAGACATCTCTCCCAGAATACAATCACATTAACACTAAGCCCAAATAGTCTATTCAGAACTCTGTATGATTTTTTTTTTTCAAAAGTGTTTGGAATGCTCTACTACTTAATGCCTAAAACAGATGATTAATGAGACTGCTAAAAATCTACATGCACAAAAGTATTGACAAGATTTGGAAGGTAGAAGGTAGTGAGCTGAGGATGAAATGTGTCCAGAAGACTAAGGTGTATAAGGCATGCAGAGCTGCATGATGACAGAGGAACAGAGGAACATGAGCATGTCACTCACATCTCTAAAAAAAAAGTTGTAACAGGTCAGAATAAGAAATTAATTGTGACAGTGCTTGAAACAGACATGGTGATGGAGGAAGGTGATCAAAACAATTATCACAAAATACTATGGCACGGTGATACTCAGATATACCGTTGGTAGACTCGACAGCGGCAGAAGTGGTCCCTGCATCCGGAGGGAGGGTGTTGGCTGCTAAACCTAGAGGGGGTGGGGTATTTTCTGATTCACCTACACAACAAAAAATCAGAGCAAAGAGAGGTAAAAGAAAAAAGTCCCAATTTTTTAGTATACTTGAGTTTCTATTTAGGAAATTAGAAAAGTAAGAAATGAGTTGTTGACTTCTCAAGAAAGAAAAAAAATTAGAGTATGTTCACTGCCAAAAGGTTAAAAGCACAATACAGCAAAGTTAAGAAACTATACTATATCTGCTCTCAGAAAGGGCTAGTACACAACTCCTGCCTTAATAGAATGCTGAGAACTGAAGTGACACTGAAACACAGTGTGACGCTGAAAAGAGGGAAAGTCACCCTGAGACTAACAATCTACATATTAAACATTTGAAAATTTAAAGACAAATATGAACTAGATTATGGAGTAAGTCACCTTGAAACAAAATTGAAAGAACAACAAAAATTCAGCCCTTCTTAGAGGATAACAGCTGCTCTGCCTTTTGCAGTCACAGTCACGTCTGGAGCAGTGACTGAGCTTCCTGCCTTTTCTCTCTGAAATCAGATTAAGATGGACCTGCCCGCTGAATATGGTTAACCAGGTTGTGTGTTCACTTTCTTTGCTTTTCTTTTGCTCTCAGTAAGAGCTCAGTTATATCAACTGCTGCCTGTTAGCAAGAAGAATGCACAGCTCCCCTTCAGGGGAACTGCACAGACAAGAAGCTTGGCAGTTTCAAACATCACATCTGAAAAGGGTACCTATAAGGCTATATACAGCTTCCCCCAGATCCTCCAGACACCCAACTGTGCCCATGACCACCCCCACCAGGGCCCTGCAACGGACAGTCCTTTACTCACCATCACGTCCTCCAGGCCCTGCAGCCAGTGATGCTCCCCAGGAACACTTCTTCTTCAGCTCCAGCTGCTGTGTGCGCTCCAGGGACCTGCGCATCATCGCCTCTAGCCGTTCCTGCCAGGTTCATGCAAAGTGTTGGTGTCAACAGGGAATGTGATCAATCACCACTGCACTGCTGCCTTGGTGCTCTCTGGGTGAGTCACCAAATGTGGCTTTCTGGGCTCAGCATCCCAAGCCTGGGTGCTCTCTGCCACACCAGCGAGGTTCTTGATGGGTGGAGAGTAAACACTGCGGCTAGGCTAGCACTGCCTCTGCTCTCCAACGGAACATTGTGTCCTGCCCCCCAGGGAGGAGCTGCTGCTGTGCCAGCCCTTGATTTGTTTAAGAATAATGCCCAACAAGCATTAACTCCTTGAGGCCTGTCTGGAGCCCCATTTTGCTCCATCCGGTAAGAGGAGTGGGATTTGCTTCCACAACCAACTGCAGTCTTTCTCATTTTAAGGATAAAACATTCTGCTTTGAGAAAATTTAAATAGAGTTGTAATTTGAGTTTTTGTATCCTTAAATATAGCTTTTTGGGATGCTATATAGCTTTGAGATGTATTTTGAAAAGCCCCATTTTCACCTGAAAACTTCCTAAAGGAGAATCAATTGTTCTACATTATAACACTTTTCTACTAATAGTACTCTAAGGATAATACTGCATAGTTCAACATAAGAGACAAGAACACAGATGCTTCAGGCCACAAAACAAAGCATTCAGACATTTCCAGAATTAGGGAAGTTTGGGGTGGGGGAAGGAATAAGCAATTTTTAACCAGCAAAGAAAAACAACCAGCAAGTTTCTTTCCTAAAAGACAAGCACTCTCCTGTAGTAATCAAGCTTACTTTCATAAAGCTGTCCTTGACACTGGAGCGAGGGCAGTCTAATTCTGTACCCCCTACCGCCTCAATGACACTGCAAATACTAGCTCCTTTCCCTGCCTCCACCCGAAAAGGACCAAAACACCCTCTAGCCCTCATTAGGCCCTATCTGGAGGTGTTCCAGGAACTGGGCTAAATAATTTCTGTCTATATCTCAAAGATAAATATTATTTTTCACTGTCTAATAAAACAGAACCATGCAAAAATAATTTAGGATAATACAACCTGAGTAACCATGACTTAAGCATCAGGAAAGAGCTCCTTTATTTCACTTACTAGAAACACATAAAGGCCACTCAGCAGGTATCTGGATTTATCCCTTTTGTCTACACCAGAGGGATGAGATTTTCTTCTACAAATCTCAGCCTTCTTTGTATAATTGTTCTCTGAATAATGCTTTGCTAACATTTGCTAAGAGACTCTTCAGGGACCTCTGAGCAGAGAGATTTTTTTGCTTCTTAAAAGACTCATATTTGTACTTAATATAAATTATGGTTTAGTTTTGGACCAGCAAATCAACAATGAGTATGCATTTCCTGCCTGTCCCATCTTCATGACTTCCAGTCGTTAAATTCTGATACCAAATACTCGTGGTCTGCCAGATAAAAACTAGGGCTTGAAGAGAATAGATCTCCTCTACCATTTGATGCCAGAAATCAGGGTCACCTGATATGGGCTGAATGTATTTAACCAATGACCTAACTGAAGTGTTGGAACCTTTCACCCTAGGACGAATTTAGTTTTGGGTGGATTATGGAAGATTTCCTACATGCCAGAGAGACTTCACAAACTAGTCCCTCATCAGATCAATGGAACAGAACAGAGGATACAGAAACAACCCCAGGCAATTCAATTATTTGATCTTTGACAAAGGGGCTAAAAACACACTGGAGGAAACAGAGCCTCTTTATGTTGTTGGAAAAACTGGCTATCTACATGCACAAGATTGAATCTATACACACAGCTTTAATCATGTACCAAACTGAAATCAAAATGGATTAAAGAACTAAATGTTAAAAGAGAAACATTTAACCAGTTGGGGGATAAGATAAGTAAAACTCTTGAAATCATAGGCATAGGCAAGGTCTTTCTGAACACAACCACAGTTCAATAGGAAATGGTACGAAGAATCAACACGTAGGATCATATCAAATCAAAAAGCTTCTGTTCAGTAAAAGAAACAACCACAAAGTGAAAACAAAAGAAAACCTACAGAGTGGGGAAAACTTTGCCAGCTCCTGCTCAGGCAGAGGACTAGTGTCTAGAATATATAAAGGACTAAAAAAATTAGACCCTCCAAAACAAAGACCCAATCAAAAATTGGACAAGTGAAACAAACAGACACTTCACAGAAGAAGAAATACAAATGGCCAACAATTACATGAAGAAAGCTCAACATCACTGGCCATTAGAGAAAAGCAAATTAAAATAACACTGAGATTCCATCCCACCCCAGAAAGAATGACCATCACCAGGAAATCAAATAGCATGCTGTCAAGGCCGCAGAGGAAAAAGGAACCCTTCCACATTGTTAATGAGAATGTAAACTAGTACAACCACTACAGAAATCAATACGGAGAGTCCTAAAAAAAATTAAAATTAGAAATTCCATTCAACCCAGCTATTCCCCTTCGAGATATCTTCCTGAAAGTATTTCAGACATCATGTTATAGTGATAGACGCATACACATGTTTATAGCAGCACAATTCAAATTAGCTAAATCTTGGAAGTAGACTGTGAAGACTAAACCCTGAGGAGTGACTGAGACCACTAGAACAGGCAGGGTTGAAGCAAACAGCGATATCTTTATTTCAGACTGAGTGTGGCTGGGCCAAAGGTGAAAAGACCATTGGCCCCAAACAAAAGAAGAGGGTATGATTTTATAGGGGTTAAAGCAAGGGAAGGGGTCTTGCCAAGGAAGATGGAAAATTTTAAGTTTGTGACAGGCCGTTGGTGGGTTTGGTGTGTCTAATGGGAAGCACCTGGTGGGAATAGCAGTATGACCGTGGCAGGGTTCCTGTAAGCCTGAGAACAGACCTGATAAACAGGGTTATTTTGGTCTCTTGAGCTGGGTTTCCTGTTTGAACAGAGTGGTGGGCCTGTTGGGTTTTTTCTCTTCAAGTTGGGCAGGGTCCAAAGTAGGAACCTAGCATGGACTATCTGTCCATTAGAAGATAAATGTATAAAGAAAATGTGGTATTTACACACAACTGAGTACCACTCTGCCATAAAGATAAGCTTGAGTCATTTGTAGGAACTGGATGAATCTTGAGACCATGATGTTAAATAAAATAAATCAAACACACAAGCTTAAATATCACAAGATTTCTCTTATATGAGAAACCCAAATTATAAAGAGCAAAAAAAAGATAATAGGAAGTAGGGAGATAGACCTTTCTCCAATGGGAAGAGGATCAAGAGATGGAGGGAGGGGACAGAGAGAGGGGAAGGGATGAGAAAAATAAGTAAGATGTGTTCTATACATGTGCCAACTCCACACAAGGAATGTACTGCACACATGTACTAATAAAAAAGAAAAAAGGATAGTTCCTCATTTAGCAGAGGCTCAGTGAGAATAAAAAACAGTCTCGCTAAGCTGGGCCTACCAATGAGCAGCTGCCTAGGGGACAGAATTACACAGTAGTACTTACCACCTAAAGCAGACCTACCCCTGGACTATTCAATTACCTTTAAAAAAAATAACTGCCCATGGCATCCACCCTCCATCAACTGAGCTACTCCGAATTCCACCAATGACGATTTGATCCTTTGGACTTTGAATAGGTTTATAAAAATATAGCTATAGCAGGGGCTGGGGATTTAGCTCAGCGGCAAAGCGCCTGCCTGGCAAGCGCAAGGTCGTGAGTTCGGTTCCTGGTACCGGAGAAAAACCAAAAAAA